TGCCTCCAGCCCTGGGCTAAAAACAAGCGAAGGACACAAACTTGTTGGGGTGGAGTCCAGAGGAGGCCAGGAAGGTACTCTGAGAGCTCGATCACCTCTGCTCTGGAGACAGGCTGGGAGAGCTGTGGGTGTTCAGCTGGACAAGGCTCTGAGAAGAATTTAGATCCCATTCCAGTACCTAAAGGGTCTCCGGGACAGTTGGAGAGGGACAAGGACATGAAGTGACAGGAGAAGGTGGAATGGCTTTAAACTGGCAGAGGGCAGGGTCAGACTTCATATCAGGAAGAAATTCTTTCCTGTGAGGGTGGTGAAGCCCTGGCACAGGTTGCCCAGAGAAGCTGTGTCTGCCCCATCCCTGGAAGTGTTCAAGGCCTGGTTGGACATGGCTCTGAGCGACTTGATCTAGTGGAAAGTGTCCCTGCTATATTGCAGGGGGGTTTGGAACTGGATGATCCTTGAGATCCATTCCTAGTCAAAGCATTCTGTGATTCCGATATGTGGGAAAAGCCCCCGAGCCTTTTACACCCAGGATGCGAGGCTTATGTACGGGGACAGTCGCTGTGGAAGAGAGAAACATTTTGTGCTCCATACAGCTGGGCCAACTCTTTCTCCAGCTCCCCCAGAGTGCAGTTCTTGACCTGGTCGTTCTCGGCAATGGCTGCCCAAGCACTCATGGTGTTGTTCCTGGTCTTGCAGCAGGCACCAGACCAGATGTGGCTGGGTACATTAACCCTCCCATTGGGGACGGAGGAGTTCCCAGGCACAGCACCCACAATGACGTAGGTGGTTTGACAGTCTTTGCTTTTACTGGCCATCGTTTGCTGCTCGTAGTTTCTCCAGGCTTTTCGGTTGAGTGTTTTGTTCATGGGCACTATGTTGGTGAGGGTGAAGGTCGCATTCCTGCTGTCTGAGGTGTTGTGGTGGCCATTGGGGTTCAAATGGCCACGGTCCAAACTGCTGTTGTTATAGTCTGTGTAGACAGCCTGGCTTTGCATGATTTGCGCTTTGGTGATGTTGTATTGACGTTCAAGGGTCTGCACTGTTTGCATGTTTTTGGACAAATTTGAATGTATCAGCTTGATAGGTAAAGAAGAGGAAAAGATGTTAGTGTTGGGGATGGGAATAATGGAGCAGGTTTCCCTGGAGCAGAAGTCTCCAGGTGTCAAGAACACATTTTTTCTCTTCTCAGTCTATGGAAATACATGAATCCGAGAGAAACCTATAGCTGCCCCTCCTGGATCAACACAAGAGTTTTTAAGACAAAGGAAGCTCAGAATGTGACTTCCCTCCTCTTGACTTGTGATCTTTGTGATCCAGCCTGCAACCTGTGCTGGGAGTGTGGCTGCATACATGAGATACTGAGCATTTTCCACTCCAGCTTTGAAAGGAGAAAGGTCTTTGGTGAGAAACCTTCCCTGACACAGCTGGTTCCCTTTCAGCCTGTCTCCAAACCCACTTCTACCCCAGATCCTCCCACCTCCATTCTTTCATTCTCTGACTCCATCTGTGGTTGTTACAGGTGTACCACACTCCTGGAACACCAGGGTTTGCCTCCTGTAACCCCAGACACAGGGAGATGTGTTGAGAAACCAGTCCTAGAGGTGAGGTTTCCCAGGGGGGGCTACAGGTCACTGCAGAGATGAAAGTTCTTTTGTTCATTAATCAAAAAGACCTCAGTTCAAATGGGGTCTGCTACTGCAGTCCTAATAATGTGTCTCAGAGCTGATCTGGGCCAAGAAGTATCTTCTGCAGCCACATTGAAAAGAAGTTAAAAATGATCAGCCTCTTCAAGGAGCTCATAATCCCCAAAGTGTCCTGAGGAACCCAAGTACTGAAAAAGGACCTCTGGAGAAAGTTACCAAAATCAAAGTGTTTGCAGGAGGCCTGGCTCCGTGGTCCAGGAGTAAAAGGGCCAGGTTGGATGGGGCTCTGAGCAACCAGGTCTAGTGGAAGGTGGCTCTTCCCATGGCAGTGGTGTGGAATTGCGATGATCTTTGAAGTTCTTTCCAACACAAACCCTTTATGATTCTATGAGTCTACGAAACAAGAGAAGCTTTTATCCCAGCCCTAAATGTGGAGACTGTAGTGGTGCAATGTCATAGTAGTTGTTTGAGTTCCAGTGAGTACAGAGTGGAAATGTTGNTCACCCAATTCTGAGTTTCTCCTCACTTCTCTCACATCACTTACAAAGAAAAATGCAGTCTTAACTGTGAGAAATATAGCTCTGTCAGGGTTGCAAAACAGCTCAGGGCAAAGTGGAGATCAGAATCCAGCAGGACTCTTGGTCCCCCAAATTTAGCTGCTGTTGGATGCCTTTTCCCCATCACTGGGTCTCCCAGCACAGCAGGGCACAGAGAGGGAGGTCATTTGACTTTGGAATGGAATGCAATGGAATTTGACTTCAGGTCAAATTTGACTTCAAATTCCTGTTGCTGTCAGGTCAATGCAGAAAACTGTACACCTTTGGGATAGGACTCCTCCTGCTGCTGCTGCTGTTTGAAATGCATCAGAGGAATCATTTGGTGCAGGTGTTTGAAGTGAGATGAGATGAATCCCACCCAGTGGGTCCATTTGCAGGTGTGTGTATGGGGGTGGGAGGAAACAGAGATGTATAGTTAAATACTGCAGTTCATCTTTTAGTGACTGCAGAGTGAAATGCTGTAAGAGGACACTCACCTGGGGCTCAACTGTCCATGTGTGTTTTTTGAGATTTGCAGGCTCGTATTTGTAAGCAGAGTACATGGGAATACGCCTGTCTTTGTCGTACAAGGTGGCAAAGAAAGTCTCGTTGTTTAAGGTCTGGCAGATCCAGGCATATTGGTTCTTTGGCTTGATTGCTGCATCTGGGGGGGTGTTACCGTAGAAGAACTGAGGACAACTTGCAAAGGAATTAACTACCTCGCTGTGTCCCATCCAGAGGCAGCTCGCCCAGACCTGCAGCAGCAGCAGCCTCAGCATTGTGGGAGGATTTCAGGTGAAGGGTTCTTGCTCCCCTGGAAGGCAAATGCAGAGGAATAATGAAGTTGGAAAGAACTGGCCATGACCTGCAGTCATTTTTGTGCAGGTGGGACACAGCTGGCAGAGGAGGGGACTAGGAGAGACCACGGAGGGGATAACTTCTGTCCTCCTGGCTGTGGAAAAATCACCAAGGCAAACAGGGTGAAATCTAAAATAGAGTTAAGGTGCCTACAGGAGGTAGCAGGTTCATCTTATCAGAAGATTCATCTTACCTGGGGAGGGATCCAAACCTACCCCATATCCAGTCAGCTCTCACTGCAAAGTTATCTGAAACTGAGGCACAGCAGTGGCATAAGGTCACATTTTTCAGCCTACCTGAGTTGGTCAAGAGCTCAGGTTTTGCACTGGCATTGGAGAAAAAAGCCTGAAGCAACCCAGAGCCTGGAAACCCCTCTTTCTGAACATCATCTCTCTCCCTTCTGCTCTGAGGACCTTCCCACAGCAGACACTCAGCTGACATTGGGAAACCTGTCCTGCTGCTCAGCTTGCATTGTCATGGTATCCAGCCCCAGACTATGAACTTGCAGATGCATGGATAGAGAAGATGAAGGGGCCAAGCAGACAGGAGCAGCAAACCCGAGGGAGAACACCTTTATCTTATTTGCACTGTGGCTGCTGCAATGCAAATACTGAGGGGTAGCTCTTCCCCGTCCAGATGTGGCTTCTCCATATCAATGTTATCCTGCTTTCTGCCTCAGTTTTCTTTCTATCAGATGCTAAAGGCAGCAGTCCAGCCTCATGCTCAGTATGGAGCAAGCTGGGAGGTAGCTGAGCAAATGCAGGGAAATGGAAAAACCTCTTGTCATGGCAGTACTGGAAAAAGGGGATTTTGAACCCTCACAGGAGAGTAGAATTTCCAAACCTGCCCTTTACATTCACTGGAGAGAAAGAGCTGACTGCAGAAATGAGTTTGTGTATGAAGACACTCAAAGCTGATAGCTTGCTTTCAGGTGTCTGACTTTTAGATCCTTAAAAGCCTTCTGCCAAAAATGCAAGCCCTCTCTTGGTGACTCTGTTTTTAGGATATGGGATATGGAATATGTTTTTATGACATGGGATATGTGTTTTTAGGATATGGAAAGGCATTGCAGGCCAAGCCACACCACTGATGTGATAACCTCTTTAGGTTTTGGAGCACCTCTTTCCCACGTACCCAGGAAGAAACTCACTTCTTGCACTGTGGTATGGAAATCAGCAGAGAATTTCTGCACCTTAACACCTTTTGTGGACTAAAGGGGCCGCAGATGCAGTCCAGCTTAGATTAGACAGATGAGTTTCCCCACAGAAAAAGATTTGTGTGCTCAAAGTTCAAGAAGCTCAGCACTGTGACTCAGGGTGGGAGGGCTGGCTTCCCACTGATTTTATGGTGCTGCACTAAAAAAGGCAAGTGTTGAACTGATGAGATGTAGTGGGTTTCTGTGGCTGGGTTTTGGTAGTGGAGGGGGCTACAGGGGTGGCTTCTGTTAGAAGCTGCTAGAAGCCTCCCCTGTTCCGTGGAGCCAATGCCAGCTCCAGGACGGACTTCCTGTCGCTGGCCAAGGCCGAGCCTATTAGAAGTAATAGTAACGCCTCTGTGATAACATTTAAGAACAAAAGATTGTTGCACAGAAGAAAATTCCAGCCAGGGAAGAGCAGAGTGAGAACATGGGAATAACAACGTAGACACCAAGGTCAGTGCAGAAGGAGGAGGAGGAGGTGCTCCAGGCGCTGGAGCTGTGGCCCCTGCAGCCCGTGGTGCAGCCCATGGTGAGGCAGCTGTGCCTCTGCAGCCCATGGAGGACCATTGGGGTGCAGAGACCCACCTGCAGCCCATGGAGCAGGTGGATGCCTGAAGGAGGTTGTGACCCCGTGGGAGGCCCAGGATGGAGCGGGGTCCTGCTGGAGACCTGTGGCCCGTGGAGAGTGAAGCCCACGCTGGAGCAGGTTTTTCCCGGGTAGGACTTGTGACCCCTGTGGGCAACCCATGTCAGTACAGCTCATTTGTGAAGGACTGACCCCATGGAGGAGTGACCCACAGAACAGCAGTTTGGGAAGAACTGCTGCCCGAGGGAGGGACTCAAGCTGGAGAGGTCCATCAAGGACTGTCTCCCATGGGAGGGACCCAATGGGAGCAGGGGAAGGGCTCCTCTCCCTGAGCAGCAACAGAAACAACAACTGACCATAACCCTCATTCCTGTCCCCCTGCACATCTAGGGGGGGAGGAGGGAAAACATGGAAGGAAGGAGGGGTGGGAGAAAGGTGTTTTTAAGATTGTTTTATTTCTCACTCTTTGGCTCTTATCCTGTTAGTAATAAACATAAGTACTATCCCCACTATGAGTCTTGTCTTGCCCGTGAAGGTGATCAGTCACTGACCTCTCCCAGCTCTTATCTCTACTCATGAATTCTTAGCTGGTTTTTTTATCTCTCTTCTCTGTCCAGGTGCAGAGGGAGAGTGAGAGAGCGGCTTTAGTGGCTACCTGGTATCCGGCCAGGGTCAACCCTGTCAGTGAGGTGAGGGCTAGGGGCTCAGGGATGAGGGAGGTGTAGTGAGAGGAAAAGGTGGGGCCGTGCACTTTCCCATCAGTTAACAGAGATCACTTGGGACTAGATCATCCTAGCAGTGCCTCCTCACATGGTGTGGGTCATGAAAGATCAGCACCAAAGAGGAGGTCAGAACCCAGATCTGCCTTCTGCATTTTCTGGGGCTCGGGAGACCCCTTTCTTCCATCCCTCCTGTTTGCTTCTCTCTCAGAGGACTCCCTCGTTCAACTTAGCAGTGCTGTGGTTTGCTGCTGTACCCAAAAGAGTCAACTCCAGCCTTCAGCACAGCCTGTTGTGATGGGGAGTTCCCCCTGGAACTGACCTTTCTTTCCCATAACTCTACTCAAGTGACAACCACCAGTGGTGGTTTGGTCATGGTGGATACACTGACTCAGGGTGGATTCAGGGAAGGCAGATAACACAATAGCCAGGGACTGATTTGAGCAACGTGCCCACCTAACCACAGTCAAAGTCTGGCTCAAGACAAGTTGGGAAGAAACTAAAATCTGTAGTCAGTATGCAAATGTGGCTGTAAGTTAATTGTCTCACTCCAGAAATAGTGGACAGTCCAGGGCCTGCTGCAGGCTGTGTGCCAGGGTGTTGTAGCAGGATGCTCTGCCCTTACAATGTGGTCAAACAACCCAAACAGTGCCCTATTTTACAAGCTGTCAGGGTGGGCTGAGAGGGGGCATCATGTGCTGGTTTTGGTGTTCAATTATGCTAAAACCAGTCTGAAACATCACCCCCAAATTAACATCCTGATAGTCAGGCAAAGATTTGGCAGATAAGCTGCTAAGATGACCTGGAGACATATGACTGGCAGTCACTCAGTTTATACTCTAGAAGCCCAGTCCACTTTCATGCCATCAGATTCTTCTAACATCCTCTTCTTGGAGTGTGTGGAGATTCTCCTTTGAAGTGGAGATTCCCGTTTGAGGTTACTCCTTGAGGTTAAGAGATAGAGATCTGCCCACAAGTGGTAATATGGTGAGTTACACCAATCCCTAATTAATGATTGTTTCTTCTTGCTAGCTTTAATTATAATTGCTTTGATATAATGCACTATCCTATCCTATCCTATCCTATCCTATCCACTTCTGGTAGTTTTAGCTTTTATATTGTGTAGTAAATAGTTCTGATTAAGATCCTTTTTCTGACCATTTGTCATACTAAAGAATTCATTTTATGTAAATATACCTGGTTTAGCATCTTGAACCCTGTGGGACAAAGTTGTACTGAAAACCATTGACAAAGTCTGGGACTAACATTGGATCCAGCCTCATCCAGACTCCACTCACAGAAGGAGTTTAGAAATTAAGGGGGTCTTCTCTGCACCTTGTGACACAGTGAGAGGACTTCTCTAATAAACTTTCTCTAGAGTCCCACTTCTCCCCTTGAGAAGGGACACCTCTCAAAGTTACTCCTCAATGCTGAGAGATTCCTTCTTGTGTCAAATCCTCAGTAAGTGGACTGGGAATAAGCACACTGAAACTTTCAAATCTTTCTTTTGGGGAGCAAATGCACTTTCCCTGCAAGCTTGGAGCACAGCCCCTTCCTCCTCCTCCTCCGGGCTCTGCTCACCTTTACAGGCAGCAGGTCACTCATCTGCACCAAGGGGAAAACTTTACCTGGAGAAAAGCAGCAGCAGCAAGATGATGCACTGTTCCAGTTGACTGCTGGTCTTGTTGGCAGCAAGGGAATTCAAAGGCTAGCAGGTTTGACTGGAAAGCGTCTCAAACTCTGCAGTTATTCCCAAGGGAAATGGAAGGCCCAAGATACTGAAACAACTCTGCAGCCTGGATTTGTGAAATTTCCTTTTCTTTCCACCATGCAGTGAATTTCTACCCCATTCTCTGATCCTGGGAGTTGTACGTTTAAGTCTTTTTACAGCCCAAAGCCACAAAAAATACACCACGTACCTCAGACAGGCAAGAAGAAGACACACTTCCAGAGTCCTGGTTCAGACTCCTAGATGAGGTCCCAGCAGCTCGTCTCTTCCACAAGGAGAGATGGATCACGTTGGATGCACCAACCCGCTTCTTCGGAAAGCCACACCGCTGGAAGATCCATGCTTCAATATATACAGGCTTTGTTTGCTACTGGACATTAATTATGCGGAGGGTAATTAGCAGTCACATTAATATGATTTCCTGTTTATCTGTTGTCTCACTCCATATGGAAATGAGATTATTGATTGCGAGCGGAAATATGTCAGACCAGACTCCAGAGGAAGGGCCTCGTTGCTCATGAGGAAGAGCAGCCCTTGTGATCAGGGGCTGTGCCTTGGGTCATCTCTGCTGGACTTGGCATCCCCCGGGGGTCTGTGGATGTGACATGGCAGGAAGGGTCAGCTGTCTGCCATGGGCAACACTGATCTACCCTTCACCTCTGAATGTGTCAACTCTACTCATTCAGTGC